ACTAGCAGGGCAAACCGCACCACATACCCTACTGCTTGAAACTGGCTATTCATACTAGACTGCTGAAATGGCTAAATTATTGTTTAGCATATTCCACAATTTAACATGCAGAATATTTCGTGTCTTCTCATTTTCACAGTCAGAGTCTTATTTTTTTAAGTAACAGGATTAAAGGCGTAACTGTAAACCATTTATTTCATTACATCTCTTTCATCATCATAAAGCTGCTTGGGGAAGGTGGATGAAAATGTCTGTTTCCCCAATCTATCCAGGCAGCACTGGCACAGGATGAATAGTTCCCAGTAACTCAGAGTGTAGGAGTTGAAACAGAGTTTTGTACACTCATAAAGAGACTCTGAACAGCCTGGACAAGGAGTTGGTGGGGCTGAGGCACTGTAGAGTATCTTGGGAATGTGGTGCTTCCTCTTGCACAGAATTTAGTGGGGGAATGTTATTGCAGCCTCTCATTCTTTGGATTAAAGTTCACCTCTGTGCAAGTATAGTATGTCCTGTTTTGAGAGCATTAGTTGGAGCTGAGATTTGTGTAGGCCTCAGGTGAGCTGCTGATCCCCTCCTGATAGTGAGGTCCAGTGCTCTTAAGTATCTCTTCTTACAGCATATGTGCATTCTTCTCTCTTGCTGTCCCAAAAGTATTTGGGTGGATAAAGTCGTCTTATTGAAATGGCAGTCTGAAACAGCTGGAACGGTTGAAATCAAAATGCTATTTGAATATCTGTCCCTGGCCTTCATGTTGCTCAAGTAAAACATTTCACCACAAAATCTGAAAAACACACCTAATGCAATACGTTTTTAGTGGCAAAGAATATTGATGTGACTGTTGTGACTCATTCTGTGTTTTGGAAGTTTTTTTTGTAAAGCAGAGATGATGTATTTTCTAAGTCATTCTCTGACATGACAGGTGACGAGTCTAGGAATCTGTTTTAATAGATAGTTGCAAACCTGAATAATTAAAACTCCACTGGGAACATACGACGCACCAGTTCACAGAATTTTCTTCTGAAAGTCTAATTTGACACCTAAGACCCCTGTTAACATTTTGAAATCTGCATTTTCTATGCTAAACTGTTAATAAGTAAACCACTTTGACTAACAGACACATTGAGCTTAGTGAAATTTTCATGCATTTTTAGTCATCCACAAAACCAAAGCATGTGCCGAATTCTCAGTTCCTAGGATAACAAGGCTTATGCAGTGATGCTTTCTGTGTCCATCTCCCTTTAATTCTCACTTCCCAGTAACTTTTGAACTCAAAGCTCATTTCAGACAAATTTAACCAGGAGGACTGATCCCACAGATGGTTGTTTCCTATAACTGGCATTAAAACAAGCAGTATGGTAGAGGAGAAGTGGGGAAAGGCAACAGTATGATGTTTGTCTGGAACAAACAGCAGACAATCCACATGAAAGATTAAATATTTGAATTCATTAAGCATGGGAAAAGTTTCGGTAGGGTGGGAAGACAACTTTCACTAAAGACTGCAGGCCTGAGAGACAGACCCATTGAAAACCACACAGTAGTAATTCCTCTGATTATGGAGGCAGAAGGAAGAACCATAGTTCCTTATTATAAGATATGTAGAGAAGCTGTTCCTGTAAGGCATACTTCCAGGCAGTTATTTCATCCTGTGAGCTGCTAATGATAAAAATGTCTGTTGCGTAGGATCTAACACATAAATGTGATTCTGTGTTGAAAGCTTCTGAAACGGAATTGACATCACATTTGCTAATTTTCTCTTTATGTAGCTAGCGCCACAGTAGCCGTGGTTAGCAGGGAAACGAACATCTACAGACCAGAAGATTATAGTTGCCGAAGGATAAACTGGATTTGACTTCATTAATGCACAAATGATAAGTTTGTGAGGAGTTATTATAGCATTAATCAACTTGATGGATTGGAAATATGACAGAACTGAAGCAGCGTGTAATATTAGTGCCTATTATTCTACAAATTATGTCTTCACCTACATTCATAAGGCAAGAGTCATTGCCGTACATTAAAGATGTTACACACTTTCTCCTCTTGTGGAGGCATGTGACATCCCTTCAGTGATTCCTCCTCCTCTCTTCCCCCAATGGGCTTCTGGTCTCCTTTAGCTGCATGTTTTCACCTTAAAACTAATCGAAGGCAGCTTGGGAACTGATACTTGAATTTAGCTTGCACCTTGCGAACCTGGACAACTCATGTAGCAGCATGTATTTAAACTTGCTCCATCAGGAAAAAATATTTCATGCTCTAAACATCTTGGAAGAAAGCAAGTGAGTGGAAATTGGAAGATGTGGGCAGACAGTGAGTGGGTATTTAATTCTTTGATTTCCAGAGGATTACACAGGCTTTGTGTATGTACCTCCAGTATCGTTGAACATGATCTGCTGCACGCAATTCTGAATGCATGCTGCAGAATATTTTTTTCTAGGATATGAGTAATAATACATGAATCTTAATGTGAAGTCGATTGTTTTAAAATCCAGTCTGTACAGTGATAGCAACATCAATTATCTTTTATCTGGTCTATGTACAAAGAACTGAAGGCCTCAATTCAAGGCTCGTGAACATGTGTCCACCTTGTCCAAACACGGCCAGTGACCTCTCTCTGGAGACCGTCAGGTGCCAAGTGCAGGGGGTATTATTCATTCATTGTCTTAGAACTGCTGAAACTTGGAGTTTAAGGTGTACTAGTAATGAAGGCTGAGATTTTCATGTGGCTGTTTGTCCTAATTTCATTTACTTGTCAAAAGACCTGTATTAGTACACAACTCAACTGTGAATGAGTAAATGTAAAGATATTAAACTACCCTTGCCCTTTCCTTCCCTCAAGTTGGGTGTGTGCTCCTGTGTACTAAGACTATGGGATAAAGACTTCATATTATGACTAATAAAATTAGGGTCAGCAGATATGGTTCATGAGAATCTGTGTGTGATCAGTAGAATGTGGAAGGAAAATTTAAGCCAATAAGGGCAAACAAGTTAAGAAAATATTCTGCTTGTGTTTTAGTTTATAGCATGGATATGGCTGCCTTAGCAGCGGTGTAGTTTTGGATTCTGTGTGCCAAGAAGCTGTTTTATATATATCTCCATGGCTGCATATAGCTTAGAGCCAAGATCAGACTGGAATTAGTGTTTGAATTTCTTGAAATATGCCTAGCTCTTCTGTTGGAAAATGAAAAGTTCACTTGATTTTTGTGGGCCTGAAATATTTCAGCCATGTACTTGTGTAAAAATAGGCCACTTCCAGTTTGGGCTGGAATCCAAGAATTAGACATTTCAGTCTGAACAGGGTCAGGCAAAAATTTTCAGTAGAAATGGGCCCATGCAATTTGAAGTTCTCTGTACCATTTTGGGCATGTAAAAAGGATGTTTTCACTGGTTGGCTGGAGTATACACGAGATCAGTGTACCTTTGTGACTTAGTTACTTCTGTAAGTATTTGAGAGTCCAGCACTGATAAGTTTGCTAAAGTATAGTAATATATTCTTAATTTCCTCATTCCATTTGCTCTTGCAAGACTTCAGTGGACCTGAAGAAATGTATATTTGGTAAATTATTTTAAACAGTTAAGACTGTAGTACCGCAGACACTATCTTAGTCTCTTTTTATTTAAAGAAGTAAATGTACTTCCACCTCAAGAATTTTTACTCCAGGGCAAAACTTTAATGGAGGGGTGTAAAACCAATAACAGCGACAAAACATAAAACATTTTTTTGTGACACTTAAATATGATTCATTGCTTTCTCATGCCCATACTAGTATAGCTTTGATAGCCTCTGTGCTTTAATGTTAGAGGCAGTGACCTTTGCAAAACTGTGTACTGTGTTACAAGCTTTACAGTTCTATGTGACTTCCATAAAAGTTAATACTTCATGAGTATCCAAAAAGAATGATAGTTAGAAAGTTGTGCTTTTTTTTTCTTTGAATTCTGAGGGCAAAGACACAAAAAAATTACCTTACTGAAGCCAGTGGCATATTTCTGTTTGAACCACACATAGCTATTTATAGACATTATTGCTTTAAAAAAAAAAAGTGATCAGAGCATTAATGTTGTTTACAAATAGCTAGTTTGGGTATTGTATTGGTATTTAAAAATATATTTTTAATCAGACATTAACAAGGAAGGTAATGGAGACAAAACAACGTGATGACCTGTTATCTTAATGCTACCATTAACAGTAAATCAGTACTGATTACTATTTTTGCCATCCCGTAAATTTAAGTTGAGTATGATAGATTAAGCACAATGGTTCTCAACTGGAAAATGTGATTGTCTCTTATTTCCTTGCCTTTTTTTTTTTAACAACTGTTCCAACTGTTTTGAACAACTGATGATGCAGTTTTTTTAAAATTTTTTTAATGCATATTGACATTCCCTTTTTACGGTTGACCAGTACATCATTTAAAGCAATAGGTAGTCCCAGTTGTCTTGGTGGGTAGGTTTCTGACATGCCCGAGCACCTGGCTTTGTAGGTCTTATGTAGGACCAGTGAGGACACAACTTCAAAAGGCAGAAAGCTTTTCCATTTCGCCAAAGCATTCTTCACGCTTGTTTTTGAGGTTTGTGCCTCTCTCTTCTGTATCTTGTTCTGTTCTTTCCAGATTCTTTGTTTAGTACCTTAAAAAATAGTTGCTCTCGAGAGTGGCCAGAATTGTGATGGGAATGTGCACAAGGATGTCTTTATGGTGGAGGGAAAATAGCTGCTTTAGCTGCTTGAGAATTGCAAGGCCATTCTGTAACATAGCTTGAATTTTAGCTTTTCTTGCAACATTAACTTTTGGGATTTAGTTTTCTGCTCTGTGTTGTCCCTCTACGAGCAGGAGAGAAGTACAGGAGAAGCGAGTGAAACTGGGACGTTTTTAGGGCAGGTTAAGTCTTGCATCAGCATCTTTGCAGTTTGAGTTCCTGCTCTAGGTAACGTTCGTGTTCAGGTAGCATCTGCAAGCACGTTGTTGTTTGGCTTGCTTAACTAATTCCTCTTCTTTCCACAGCCGCAGAGCCTTGGCCTGAAAATGCTGCGTTGTATCAGCAACTGAAGGGTGGGTACACTGGTTTTTGCATTTAATAATTACTTTATTTTTAGAAAACACGTTAAATATGCGCTAAGATAATTAACCTCAAGGAAGCACAGAAACTGTTAAAAGAGTCCTTTGTGTTGTTTGTCTGGTCAGAGGTTTTAGCTACGCTTGCATCTGCCAATATAAACCAGCTATTCATGGCCTATAAGGTCCTTGGTTTATTATTGACTCATTATATTGGCTGCTCTAGGCAGTGTAAAATGATGTGGTTGCAGGCACAGTTGGCAGATTTACTGCACCAATAGCTGAGGCAGCAGATTTTTGAAGTCTTGTGGTAAAGTGGGCTCTCAGTAAAAAGGAACTGTTAAAATGTATAGGCTAGGATGGTTCAGGCTCCCTTTAGCAGCTCTTCATATATCATCAGATCACATTATGGCCCCCATTTGGGGCTCAGCAGCCTGCTACAGTTGTCAGAAGACTGCAAAGTAATGAAGACTAATAGGTAGCAGCCCTAGTCTTCTAAGCATGGAATTTTTATTGCAGTGAACTTGTCATCTTTCTTTTGTGTGACAGACCTAGACACAGTGTGCAATATTAACTGCAAGCTGCTTTTATACGTTTCTGAATGCTTTTACTTTTTAGCCAGAGGAGTTATGAAGATGCGGTTTTATTTAACTTTGATTAGAAGAAGAGTAATTGGCATAAAACTCAAGTATTTGATTTTTAGTTGTGAGCATTTTTTATTGTACATTGGTGGTAATGTATGATAAATGCAATTGCATTTGCAGGAGAAATATTCCTGGCATTCTTTTTTTTTTCTTCTTCCTTTTTTAATATTTGTATCACAGGTTTTCTAGTCCAGCTGCATAATAATTATATATGTGCTCCTTGTTTTATGCATAAGAAATGCAACCCAGAGTGGCTTACAGTTACAGGTCAGTAGCTAAATGGGCACTGTTTTTTTGTAATTGTGTTTTTTGTTTTTTTCTGTCAACAGAGGAACAAATTTTGCTTTCTGATAATGCATCTTCCCTTGCTGTTCAGGTAAAATATCATCTTTTCTAAACTAAAGATGTTAATTCCATTTTATTTTTTGAATTATTATCTAGCTAAAGTTAACTGTATTTAGCTAAATGAATAATTTAAGAATTATTTCTGTCAAAATCAATGACTTATTTCCTGCATCTGATATACTTTACATTGTCATTGAAGTGCCAGAGCCTAAAGGACATGAGGATTTTGAGAGCCCTGTATAGAGTGCTGCTGCTTGTACTCATGTGTATGTTGGTCTATGTTTACAGTATCTGCTTGTCTAGCTACTCTGGGAACTGTGCACGGTTCCCATTTTTTGTCACTTGGTATGCTAGTTTGTCTTGTAACATCTTGCATGATGCTTGCTGGTTATTTAATTCTCAAAGCTAATACTGCCCCAAACGTATTTGCTTCATGCTGTGGGCATCAAATCTCTATATGTCTCTGATAGGTTTTCTCAATTTCATCATGTATACAGAGTTGAGATCCAGTGTGGTTTTTAGAAATAGTCCATATAATTGACAAACTTGCATCTCTAATTGACTTAAAAGCACCTCTGTGGCTGTGAAGTCTGCATAAACTCCATTAACCTGTTAGGTTCGGTAACCCCAAATCTTGAGGGGATGTTTTCTCCTTTAGTAGAGAGGGCCTGGCTGTCAGAAGTAGTGGTGAGCAGGATGTCTATAAGGATCCTGTTCTTCAAAGCAACTTTGCTGCCGCTTTGCGTAGTAGGGAATTGCACTGTTCCCCTCCTTCTTACTTTTTGTGTGGTCTAGCTCAGAGCAGCTAGAGCAAGGAGTCTTTGAGGGCTCTCCAAAAAGGTTGCATCTCATTTAGGCAAAGCAGGACGCTTGGAGACTGTAACTGACATTGCCGTTAAAAAGATTAGCATCATTTGATCATGGCAACTACTTCCAGGATCTCTTAACTTTTGTCCTCCCAGTCTGGCAATCTAGAAAATACTTCTAAGAGTAAATTCTGTCACAGCAAGAAGGTACCTTTATCCTTTGCTGGAAAGATGAGTCATCTTTGATACACCAAATAAATAAGGCAGTGTTTATTTGTTTGGGCAGTGTGTTTTATATTGTACCTTACAGTAATGCAAATAAGTGTTTTTGTTGCTTGGTTGATCTTGTTGTTCCTTTTTACCCCAGCAACCATATTTTTTGTGGTTGTCATGCATTTTCTTACCATCTAACAATATGTATAGGTGTGGCTTGTATTTAAAACACAAAGGAAAGAAACAACAACATAACCCTAAAATATCCTTTTCTAATGCATCATTTTGCTTTATTCTTTCTTGTCCATTGTTATCCTATACATGTCACTTAGATGATAAATTACCTATAATATATTAAAAAAGCTTGTTTTTCTTCAATATTCTCTAGCTGGACAGCTGATAGTAGCCATGACTATAAATATGGCTGTGGTAGATATCTGATCTTAAACTTTATAGAACAGTTTTGTATTGGGGAATCATATCTGTTCTGAAGAATCTGTGTAACATGGTTGTGACTGAAAGAATAGCTATCCTTGGTGTCTTGGATCCATTTTGAAACTGTACCAGGATCTGTAGTTATGGATTACTAGCTTAGTGATCAGAAAGCTTTAAATATACTGGTGTGTTTTGCATAAGGAAATTGCTGAGTTCCTCTGTTTTAGAATTTACTTTTTGTTCTGATGAGAGCCTGTTTATCTTCTTACTGGATATCTTTTTGCAGTTTTGGGGTTTTTTTGGGGGGGTGGGAAGTATGTCTTTTCCCGAGGAAGAAATGGGAATGGGGGACAGGAGGAGAAATAGGAGCTGGTACCTGGGACTTTTTTCCCCACTATTGCCAATCCTTTTCCTCCGTTACTGATTTGGGGCACATGAATATCACCAGAGCAGATACATAGCTTGTTCATGGCTTGTTGAACTTCCATGTGGTGAAAATGCATCAGAATTTTGTGTCCCTCTGATCAAAAGAGCATGTGGAGTCAGCCACCATCAAATCTTTAAGGAACATGGTTCACAACAAGACTCTGAATGTGCTGCAACTGATCTTACTCAAAATCTTCTTACAGCACCTCTTCATAATGCTGCTCTGGGATAGCTTTCAGAGGACATATATGCAGATAGCTACATATAAAATAAAGAATAAAATCCAATGTCATAGTAAGTAATTAGTGAGAGTAAAAGTTGACTTTTAAAATTGACGATTCTGCAATACAGGTGGCATTTCATTTACCTCTTGTCAACAGAGCGGATCAAGCAGACAGCAAAGTGAGTTACTGTCAGTGTAGGTGTAACAGACTGTTGCAGGCGTTTTGTTTGAAGTAATGAGTAGTGAGGGCTGCGGATTGAACGTAGGAAGTTGGTTGAGTCTTGCTGTTTTAATAATGATTGGACTTAGGACTTCTCGTTGTGCAATGAAATCTGGACTCCTGACTATAGCTATATGTCAGGTAAGAGAGAGGAGGACAGAGTCTTCTGGGAATTCCTAAGTAACTGTGGTGGTGCCTTCAATAGTTAAAAACCAAACAAACCAACCAAAAAAAAATTCCTTGTGGAACCTCTGCTGATTCTGCTAGGTGGGTTTTATGTTGTTGTTGTTGCCGTTTGTTTTTTTTAATTCCTCTTCTGCCCGGTGTTCTTCGAAACAGAATAAATTAACGATTCCTTTGTCTTTTAATGGGTTCAGATTCTTTATATTTGCTGAAAATGCAACGTAACTTCAAATAAGCTAGTGCATTATCTCTGGCACATCTTGGTGGTTGCAATCCTTGTTTGTTAACTTGAAGTAGTGTATTATACAGTCCTGTTGAAAGTGAAGCCCATTTGCTCTTAGGCTGCAAAATCTTGATATTGAATGAAGTTTTATTTTCACTGCAAACGAATTAAAATCAAGGGAAAATACTAACCAGTAATGATTATCCAGCTGCAGGAAAGAGAACATTATACATAGAGTGAAGGCTCTGTTCTTCCTGTGAGATGTTCAGCCCTGTTCCCATTAAAGTTAATGAAAACATATACACCTCCTGGGTAACATGACTCATGGTTAAAACCATTCTCTGCTTATTTATTGTACAGCTTCCATTATACAGCATTCCTGCTTATCAGTCTTATTGTAAAAAAAGCCGCCAAAAAGCAGAAGCGAATACACAACTATATTTCAATAACAAAACAACTCCACAACTTCAAGCAGGGAAAAATGGAGTTTTAAATGGATTAAAACTGAATTACCACAGGAAAGTATATTTCCGTCTGAAGCAGAGAGCCTGTCCAGGCCCCGTCTCCCTGTTGACACCTGGTGTGGTTAAAGTCTTTTTGTTTAGTGCCTGAGTGGAAGTAGTGTGGCTGAGTAGGAGAGAGGGGGTTAATACAGCTGTGCTGTGCCAGGCCTCTTGCCTCAAATGGTAGCATGGAGCATCTCTGTGCACTGTTCCAACTTGCAGGGAGGAGGAATGTGGATGTTGAGACTGCCTCTATTATTACAGGTTCTTCTGAAGTCTTTGTGCAGGTAGTCTCAGAGTCTTGCTTAAAAGGCTGTCTAAAATGTTCAGGATTGTAGAAATTCTCATAGCTATCCTGAGGTTATAGAGCCTGCAGCTCACTATGTTAAGATATGTATTAATTGCTTGTGCAGTTGATGTCCTTGTAAATGATCTTAATATATTCCAGGAAAGGGCATTTAGAATTGTCTGTTCTTAGTCCTGAATGACAGAAGGATGTTTGGGCAATTTAAAATTGTGTTACACAGACCAACTGCTTATTTACTTCAACAAATAATCAAATAAATGTGTAAATCGTGTATGATTAATTGCCCTCGACAGATTTGAGATATTTTTTTGTGTGTGTATGAATTGTGGTTTGGTTTTTCTCTAGACAAAACATTAGCAGAAATTTGAACTTGTTGCTGAGGCTTGAACAAAGGCTTAGTCCTGAAATGAAAATCTGACAATCTCTTTTTTTTTAAAGAGAATAAAAGCTGGAATTCTTCATGATGAGAAATGCAGTATCAACATAATCAATCTAGCAGCATTGTGTTGTAACTGAAAACATGCTTAAATCCCAAACCATACAGGTACTGTTTGTGAGTGAAACATCTTTCATATAGTTCTAAGATGAAATTACCCCTGAATGAATAGCATCTTCATTTATCTTCAAAACCTCTGTGCTACCAGTGAATCTACTCTTTCCACATTCTACAACAAGAATTACATTATACCATTAGAGCAGTGTTGTGCTGCAGTGTAAAATAGATTGTTTTGGAGAATGAACGTGGCTTTGCTATAAATTACGTTCACAGGTACAAAGGAATTTGTTATTTTGTTTAAAATAGTCACAAATATAATTAAGCTCTTAATTTATGTTAAACTACAAATGTGGCCATTACCATAACTGGATTAGGAATTTAATCTGTCACTCAAAGAATGATACTGAACAGTTTTCATTTATAACCTTAGACACACCATTTCAGTTACAGGGTCTGCAGCTGTTTGATATGAAAACTGAATTATTCTGTAGATTTGTTCATGGTTTTTAATTTTAAAATGTGTTCCTGCAATAAAGTAGAGAATAACTCTTTAGTTGTCATCACATATTGTCCTTTGTATGCTCATGAAATAATGTAAAAATGAAAACAGAAAATGCCTTTCACTCTTTCTTCACAACAGTATTGTGCGAGTGCTTTTAGAAGTGCTGCTGAATAAGAGATGGCTTGGAATGGCTCGTTCTTTATTAAAAACTAATCATGAATATATCTTCTTCAAATGAAGCCTGGAGCGTGCCATCTGAAAATAGTGCTCCTCATGTGGGGACGTAAGTTGTGAACTATTTGAGTCTTGGCATAAGTAATTTCATTCTTGCCTCTGATCTCAGAAACTGCAATCTGGATATGATTTACATCAAGTTGTAACTCATTTTTAATGAGTATATGTGTTTGCTCATATGTAGTATTCTGAGAGGGAACTGAGGGGGAAGGGGAGAGCGTTGTGATGGAGCTCTGACAGGGTGATTCGCTGCCTGATGT